TAGATGAAAGAGAGGGAAGGAAAGCTAGGTTAGATGGAGATGTCCTAGACCTTGACCCAGTCTGAAGACATGACACCCAGGTCATCGAGAAGTCCTCCAGGGAACGTCTATGCTCACTGGAAGCCTGCTGCCCAAGGATCCCTGACAACCACAGGGTCACTGGCTAGGAACAGCCCCTGAGAATTGTGACCTTGTCACATTTATGTCGATGGGTTGCAAGTTTGGCAGTTGGGACTGTCCAATTACACTTCCGTCCTGGGAGAACAGAGGTACATTCTCATGGTCTCTGCAGTGATGGTGATTGGACTAAAGCACAGAAAAACCAGAAGTGAGAAACTGCCAGATTAGGGATATGTCTTTAAGTGAGATCTGACTGGACTTACCATAAGAATATATGGGGTATAAGGAAAAGAGGAGAATAAAAAATTCCACTTACTTCTAGATTTGATCCGTTCATCTGAGCGAATAGTGTTGACATAAATGAGATGGGAGTTTGGTAAAAGAATGAATTGAGACCATGTTTATCTTAAAGTCTCTTTTTCCCTTCCCACAGATTGTTAAGCTTGTGAATATTATTTTCCTTAGGGTCTTCTTTCTCTCCCTACTCGGGGGTTCTTCTTTAACTTATTGTATGTGAAAAGTCGAACAATATATATATATATATATATCTGGGTATTTTTTCAGAGGTTTCTCTGGATAGATTCTAATTATTTACCTTTCAGTGAATAGCCATCCAGGTGTGTTAACTACTAGCACCTGCACCAATCAGGCGCTACACAACAAAGACAGGGAGGTATTACTTGTCTGTATGTTCCCAAGGCCCTGTGGCTTGGTTGATATGGACTTTATTCTCTATGGCTAATGGAAAGATGACCACTTTTTGACCTTGATAGATGATCTGGAGTCCTTTGTTTTATTATTCTGTTCCCATGAAATTTAAATTAATGTGAATCCCCGATTAACATTTTAAAAGTCAAATGATATTTAGAATATTTAGGGTGAATGTATTTGAGAGGCGAGAGAACAGTTTCTTAACTTTGGGCCCCACAGACTTTGCAGGGATTGGATTTAGAGAAAACATTCTCAATATTCAGTAACTTTAGAAGCACATGGTACAAAACAGCCAGACACTCTGACAATATTATGAATCCTTAGTTACACGTATAAGCTGGACAATGATTAAGGAAGACCAAAGAAGAATTGATGCATTTGAACGATGGGATTGGCAAAGAATATTAAATATACCATGAAGTGCAAGAAGAACAAATGAACCTGTCTTGGAAGAAATAGAGCCAGGATCTCCTTAGAAGCAAGATTGGTGAAGCTTCGCCTCACATATTTTGGACATGTTATCAGGAAGAACCAGTTTCTAGAGATGTACATGTTCTTGGTCAAAGAGAGGCTCAGCAAGCAAGAGGAAGCCCCTCGAGGAGTAGATTGATTCAGTGACTGCAACCGTGGACACAAGCATAACCATTGTGAGGGTGATGCGGTGTTTTGTTCTGTTTTACCCAAGGCCACTAGGAGTCAGAGCCAGGTTGGTGACACCTAACAATAGCAACAAATATTGACTAAGAGCTCAATCAAATTGACTATGTGTATTTACAAAATGATTATAATACTTTGACCACCATTGATATCATTGTGGGTTTTAAAAATCTATTTTGCGTAGGATTTAAATCTTCCATTCTCACTAAACCACTAATGTCTACTGATTATTGCCTGGGTGTCCTATCAGGGGCTGAGGAAACCAAATCGAATGACGAGGTCCGTGGTCTCAGCAGCCCGAGGTTAGCAAAGGACACTCACATCTAGGCACTAACTGTAATCGATATGATCAGTGCTACATTCCTGATATTTACCACCTTCTAAAAACATGCACAGAGGCAAGCCGTTATCCTAAAGTGGTCCCCGTGGAGAAGTAAGTGTCAGGCATTATAAGGAAGAAGGCTCTTGTGGGAACAAGCGGACACAGACATGGAAAGACATGGCATGTTTGGGCAATCCTGAAGTCCAGGGAGCTAGATGATACTGAACTCGGGAGGGAACTGAAACGGTAATCTCTTTGTATGCCACGCCAAGGAATTTGGAATCGTCCCAGGGATAATGTGAGCAGTCAAAAGATTTCAAGCTGGAGAATGGATGTGATGAGGTTTGTCATTTCAGAAAGCTCACCATGGTGGCAGTACTGAGGATTGGAGGGCCCTGGGTGGACATAGCAGAACTCAACACAGGACCTATAAGGTATAGTAGCCCAGGAGAGAGGACATGAGGATTTGAACCAGTCTGGGCAGGAAAAGAAATGGACATTTTCTAGAAGAGGAATGAGGAGATGACTTGATGGTCATGAAATGGGGGGAATGAGCGGATTTTACAGTTTCTGCTTAGATGGATGGCCAGGAGGTGCAATATGTCACTACAGAAAGAGGCAGACTGGGGTTCAAATGTCATCTTGCCCATGTGTGTCTTGGATTTGTTCCTTATAGTCAACCAGCTCTGATTTCTTTATGTAAGAATTGAGAGCAAAGAATCCTACCTTTAGGGGTTTCTCTGGACAATGGAGTTGCTGTCAGTTGAGAAGAATTAAAAAGACAGGAAGAAGTACAACTTTGAGGGCAACAATAGTGGGCCAATCATCTCATTTAATCTTTATAACAATTCTCTGACATGCCGGCCCTCTCATCTCTGCCAGTTTACAGGAGAATCCCCAGAGACTGAATCACATGGAAACATTGGGATTTGAATGTAGGCTGAAGCTAAACCCGGTTTCCAGAACCTGTGCTCTTAATTATCATACTCTGCAGCCTCTCACATCTCTGTCCTTGAGCACTTGTGCACGATCGCCCATTCACACACACACACACACACACACACACACACACACACACAGTGCTTGTAATCTAAAAGCCTCACAGAACACATCTTTCCTCTGTGTAACAATTCCGATCACTTCTATTTTTTTTTAAAAGGTAATAAGTATTAAGAATTTTTTATAGGTCAAGGTTTGAAAATCATAATTTGACAAACATAGCCTTGGAGCTAGAAAAGAGATAACAACTTCCATCCATAGGGGATATGTTTTTTGTTGCTATCATGAAAAACAAACAAACAAACAACAGAAGCCCAACCGACGATCATTGTTCTGGAATAAGATACTGCTGTGTGAATAACTTGCTGCATAAGTTTAGTTTATTGTTGTCTTCTCTTAAGGCTTTAAAAATGGAGATCGAAGAGGTTAAAGCCACACATGATCTGGGCAAATGGTTGCCTTGTACTCCACCTAATCTCATTAAAATCCTGTCCTCCCATATCTCACTCTACCTACCATTTAGTCAGTTCTGACCCATCACACCTTACAAGATGGGCTAGCCCTGCCCCTGTGGGTTCCTGAGAGTGTCAATCTCTAAGGGAGTAGAACGTCTCCTCTTTCTCCCAGGGCTGGGAGCTGCTGGTGGCTGCAAACTGCAGACCTGTGGTTGGCAACCCACCTTATAGTCCATTACGCCAACCAGGTTCCTTCCACAAAGCCCTTGACTGGTGTTTGCGTGTGAACTTCCCCGTGGGTAAGAGACACAACTTGTCTTTACCTATTTCCATCCGCAGTACCTTGCAGCACGTGGCTTGGAACAGGGTAAGGACTTCATGTGTGCCAACTGACAGAGGGAGACCAGCTGGGTTAGCCTGACCTCTTTTAAGTACAAACTGTGTCCTTGCCAAACTGGCAACCAGATGTGGAGTTTTCTGGCAGCTTGTAAGAGCAGTGCTAATACAAATCTCTTTGTGTGCCCATGTGTTGGATGCGCTTGTTTTAAAAGGAAAGAATGCTTCGTAGATTTTCAGGTTTCAATCTCGTGCTACCACTGTGTCCCCAGCCCCCCAGTGGAAAGGCGCACTTGAAGAGCCTGCAGGGAGTGATGTGACTTCCTGAGAAATATTGAACTGTGGAGTGGATGGCACCTAGGAGAGGGTTGTAATGCAATTAAGAAATGGTAAAGCCTTCAAAGACAGGTTTTTTTGGTACAAGGTGAAAATATAGTTATTACATCTAAGATCATTATAGCTAGAGAATATGGCTTTTAGTCAGTTAAAGATTAGGGAGAGGGCGAGCAAAAGGGCAATAAAATTTTTTTAAAGTGTAAATATAAATGTGTGTGTCCGTGTACATATCGTTGAAAATTCCCATTGCCTTTCTTCACAGTGAAAGAAGCTGAGAACTGTTGGGAGGTTTAATGTTAAAAAGGGTTCTTTTGCTGTGTTCGTTCAAAATGAGGATCAAAGAGCATTTGCTGGGAGGTTTGTGCATCTCTGCAAATGTAGAATCAAGTCTATGTGATTAGACGGAAATTAAATTCTGCCCAAAGACTCCTTAAAAACAAACCCAAATTCAAGTGGAACATATATAACTGAAAGGCAAAAGGGAACCCCAGATCAACACAAGAAAAAACAGGCTTGGCTTGAAACATGAGAAATTTAAGATACTCCTCGGAGTGCATTATTCGTTAAAAAAAAAAGAAAGTTGCTACATCCATGCAGGCAAATGAGGATCTGTCCCAATTTTTCCTCACCTGAGAGAAGAGTAGACCATGTTTCTGGGAAATAAACACAGCTTTTGGTGTGTGTGTGTTCCCTTGAGGACAGACAATGGGCCACATGACCTTTGGAGTTCCTGCCCAACCCTGCGATTCCATTCCCTGCCTCCCTCCTCAGCTTGAGTTTCCAAACACAGTCAGAACTCTGACGTCCCTCCTCCAGTCCTGCCACCGTAAAAACCATCCCAGCATGCTGACAGATAACTAAACACTTTGCTAAGCATTGATTTAAAGTAAGAAATAAAAATAGCTTAACATTCAAATCCTATGAAGCTGAACTATATAAATTTGCCATTTCTGCAGATCGGAAAGGTAAAATATGATCAAAGTATAAACTTTAACTTATATTAGGAAAGCTTTATGCATATTTGGTATGTTGCTTTAATTTTGTACTTTTTTTTTTTTTAACAGCAATTGGGAGCAGTAGCTTCAGTCCAAGACCAACTCACCAATACTCCCCACCACAGATTTATCCTTCCAAGTAAGATGTATTTTCTCTTAGTCCACCATCACCTTTTAGTACCATTCTTGCCCCTTATTTCAAGTCATGCCCACATATTGTAGCTTAATTTAAAACGACAGTGCGTTTCAGAGACTTACATGTTTTAATGACAATTATGTTGCATATCCTCTAGTAGTGACACTGAATATTCCGGTAGTTTGATGTTTGAAAGTTTTAAATGCGGACAAAGTCTGTAACTGGAATTTTTGATATCGGTTACCTTGCATGTTTCCATCTAATGCATGGGCTCTCTATTTTCTGTCATTTCTGACAAATAGCAGACAATACCCACATATTCTCCCCACCCCTTCCTCACAAACTATGGCTGCATATGGGCAAACACAGTTTACCACAGGAATGCAGCAAGCAACAGCGTATGCCACGTATCCACAGCCGGGGCAGCCGTATGGAATTTCCTCCTATGGTGAGTAACCTAGTATGCGTGGCATTGTCTAGTGGGCATACATGCATTTTTTAAAGTTTCTCAGGCAAGATGCTTATCCATTGTCTCCTCGGGGGCCACTTTAGAGAGCATGGCCATCTTTTATGTCTAAATTCTTCATCCGATCCTTTCTAATGAGCACCGTGGGAACTGCTTGCCAATAATCTCGAGGTCAGAGGAGGCAACTAGATTGCGTGGCTTATACGGCCCTTTGCTTTTCCTTTTTCTCCATTTGTATCCCAACTCTTCATTTGCCATTTGAGCCCTTGGCTCTGGAATCCTAAATATTTTTGCACATATTTGCGATAAAACTTCTGTGAATGAAGTCTTTTGGGGTAAAGATCCATTTCCTGTGTATCAGATGCCTCGCCCCCACGATTAGAGGAGGACAAGCAGGATTCAACAAACTCTTGCTCTTAGCTTGAGTGTGGCATTCTTATCAAATTTCCACATTATCAACCATTAGGAAAAGTGATCTATATATTCGCCTCCTGGGCAGCCTTTAGAGGCAAATCAGGAAGCATTTGAAGCTTAGGTCTCCATGTGTTCCTTCCCACCTGGAGATTATCTTTCTCTTGGTACAAGAGGACTCGATTGTTACTGGGTCAATACCTATAAATTAAAAGTAAACTTAGCAAATCTCAACAGCTAATCGAAAAGTGGAGAATCTCAAAGCACCTTTTCGTCAGCTGAATTTCGATCTGCCCCTCCACTTTTAAATAAATTGAACTATGTAGTAAAATAGGAACTATTGGCATATTAAGAAAAAATGAAACTGGTGATCAAGAAAAATGCATGGAGATTTAGAGGAGAGGACTGATGGAATAAATACCCTGCTACGAAAAAGCAGCTTTACCAGTTCAGACTGTTCATAATATGTACACAGCAAACATCTCCTAAAACCTGGCTTATTTTCTGAACAATACTTGTAGTTTCTTGTTAATTAATAAAATCACAACTATAGCTAGAGTCACTAAGAAGAAGATTGTCACAACATTAGCTTTGGCATCTTTTAATTCTTTGAATAATTTTGTGCTTTTTGAAAAAGTGTTTTTGCAATGAGTTTAATTATGCTGTTGAGAATATTATTTTTTTGGTAATATTCTTGTCTGTCACATATTGAAAGAATTGTTCCTTTTCAAGCATTTTATTAATACGTTCAAATGTAATTAGTTCATTCTTTTACATTGTTCATTTTTTGATCCAAATCAAATTGATCACATCTATGTTTCTGAATCATATGAAGAGTAAGTAAACTCTAAATTGGGCATGACTTCAAATTTTAAAATTTTATTTTACAAAACTATCAGAATTGAATGCCATCTAGCTAAATCAGCCACTGGAAACAGTCTTAAATTGACTGTAGAATAATCTTTCATTTGTGTAACCTATTCAAGTTTTTTCATAATATTACATAGAAATTAAATTTGTCTCTCTATAAATGTTGCTTTTAAAATAATCCTGAGCCAAAACAAGGTTAAGGGTCTATGATTTGAACTGAATAACACTGTTTCCGTTATGAGTCAAGGTATTCCCAACTCTTATTCTCAAAATATTTTATAATTATTTAAAATGTAAGTGAATTTCCAGTACAAACATACTGGCGTGCTCCAGACTTAGCCCAGGCTTCCATAGGAAGATTATCGTTTTTATTCCTGGCTGGTCTTTCAAGTACATACATTCTCTTTGGTCTTCTTGTCCCTTACCCAATCCATCACCATGGTGTGATAGACCCTGGGTCTCCCATTTCCTGGGTGGTGGGGTAGGAACTCTGCCAGTTCTAAACCATAAAGGAATGCCTACCCACCCCCATCCACTCCCACCCTCCATTTGGCTGTTTGAAAGAGTTCTCCCAGAGGGTGAGGTGAGCAGAGGGCCCGGGAATAGGGTGCTAACTGGTCATGAGGATGAGGTTTGATGTGAGAGATAAAGATCGGTTAAGTAGAGGAAAGCACAGTGTGAAAGACTTTGGTCTCAGGGCCGCCCGTGGTTATAAATCTCCGAGGGAGAGTGATTCTCAGTCCTTGGCACTTCTCTGGTCACCTCTCTTCTTCCTTCGTTAGTGCTTGAGTATGAGGAGAATGCTCCCAGTTCTTCTCATCAGGTTTCTCTGTGTCTTGGCTCATGGTCGATCATAACACGTTGGCGCCTTCTCTCCCACCTCTGGTTCATGAAGGAAGTGTGCCTAGTCACGTAGTGTACATGCTGATAGTCAGGGTCCACGTCTTAAAATTAAGTCTTTCGTCAAGAACTTGTGCATTCTGTTATGTAAGAAAAGATAACAATACTTGCTTATCGTGGGAATAATCGAGAAGGAAGAAAGAAGAACAGCCCACACTCTTGTTTGCTGCAGCAGCTTGGAGGTTACCATCATCATGAGTTTGCCGTCTTGTGGGGAGACACAATGGCGAGAAACGCAGCTAAAATTGCCTACCACATTTCCTTTGACAGTTCTTGTCACAAAGGTGCCTACCTCTAACAGCCAGGCCACGACAAGGTGCAGAGCAAGGTTAGAAGAGGACCATTAAACCCTCAAATGCCGAGAGGAGGAGGGCATCTTTCCACAGGTGACAGCATAGAGAGAAAGGGAGTTTCTTTCTAGAGTCATCGAACCATGTGTTGTGGACAGGTGTCTCCCCGGGGACCATCTCTGGGCCTGGTCTTCATGGGTCTGGCATAGCCTGTGTGGTGGATAGCATGGGTTTGTTTGATTTCTTTCTTTTGGAGGCGCGGGTCGTAAGTGGAAAGGTCACGATGAGGTTCTTCAGAGATACTCCAGGATTCGAGTCAGCTCCCTCAGCCAAGAGTCGGATTCCTCTGCTGCCTTAGGAAAGTTACCTAACAGCATTCTCCTGATGCAATTCCCCTAAAATGGAAATGAACAGTAAGACTACTGTGTATTTTAGATCCTAAAGATATCACGTCTCTTAAGTGCAAAGTAAAATTATTCAAAAATGTGGATTCCCTTGGCAGGAAAGTTCCTCCCGCTTTTCTGTGGGAGCTGAGGGCAGTTGTAAGCTTCCATGACGGTCTTGAATTAGGAGCCAGGCTGAGCCCTGTGCAGTGCTGCTGCCAAACCTCGTCCTGAAGTTAGGGCATCAGCCTGGGGCTCTGGGAAATAGTTTAGGTCCACAAGTGCATTGCTTTTTTTATTACCATATGATAAAAGCAAAACATGCCTCAGGCTACATTTAAAGCCCAGTATATTTGAATAATGTCCAAAACTAGAAGAGAGAACCAAAGAAATCTTGGTCAATCTCACTTATTTATAGATTTAGAAATCACTTTATAAATGTGTACATCATTCTGGCGTCTTATCATATTCAAGTTCTGTAGTGGTCTGCTTCCTCCTTATTTTCTTTTTCTTTCTTTGTTAAAGGCTTTTAAAAATCTTTTTTCTTTTTTGAACAGTTTTATTGGCATTGCATTCACCATTATACAATTCAATACTTCACTGATATTAAGAAGAGTTGTCCAACTTCCTCCTTTTTTCCTGAGAGGCTCTAGATATTCAGGAGAAGGATATTACCCGATTGCTTTGTGCTGTGCCCACTATTGTTTCCTCTGACTTCAAAAGGAGTTGTACTGAGATCAACTTTGTATCATGCAAAGAGTAAAACATGGAAAATGTGCTAGTTCAGGGTTGGGGAACCTGTTTTCTACCAAGGGCCATTTGGATATTTATAATGTCATTTGTGGGCTATCCAAAATTAGCAGTTTAAAAATTAGCCTGCTGTATTTGGTCAAATATTCCGTTAACTCACCCCCCAATTTCATGGCTAGAACTGCTTCTCTTTGGGGAGGCATGCGATGTGCAATGTCAGCTGGTACTGATGGTTTAGGAGGCCTTAGAAGCCTGCTGTGACTCAGAATTGACAAAACGGCGCTGATATTTCCTTTCTTTCTTTCTTTCTTTCTTTCTTTGAGATATAGCCTGAGGACTGGACATTCCCAATCCCTGTTCTCATTAGCCACATTTTAGGTAATAGGATTTTTATTTTGACAGTAAGTGGCATAGCAACTTTAGGGATAGTGTACCTAGGATTCAATTATGGTCATGTCTCTGACTATAAACGAGATAGTTTTTAACTCTTGCAAAACAGCAAAAAGAAATACACACACACTATCAACAGATTTATGTTGTACAGAAAGTTGAATTCACTAAAACAACAATAAAGAACCCCATATTCAGATCTGAAATAAGAATACAATTTTAAATGGAAGTCATCATTCATAGTATTTGCTATTAAGCTGTTAGTAGGACTCATTTGATACTAAACAGTGATGGGTGAATATTATGTTTTGTATATTTACCAGCTTTTGAAAACGAACAGACAGATAAGCTATCACTAACTGATTTAGGTGCATTGTGGGCAGGCATCAAGACTGAAGGTGGATTGTCACAGCCTCAGTCCCCGGGACAGACAGGATTTCTGAGCTATGGCACAAGCTTTGGAACGCCTCAACCTGGGCAGGCACCATACAGCTACCAGATGCAAGGTGCGTATGCATACTGTCGTTGCTCTTCTCAGTAACGCTGTGGGCTCACAGTTAATTTCAGACGTAGACTCTGATCTTCTGATGCGTTTTCATAGAAAGGGGGCCTGGCCTTGGGATCAGGGCACTTCGTTCCAGGTCAACTTGTCACTTACCAACTGAATTTTCATATTTATAACGTTAGGGGGTTAGGCTAAATGATCTCTAAGGTTCTTGTCCACATACTGTGACATTCTCAGAGAAGCTTCTATTTTCTGTCTTTGCTTCTCTCAATTTAGAAAAGGATACAAAAACAGAGAATCAAATGCATGAGGCTATTGTGCCTTCTTTACTAAAAACGTGTACTTGGTGTGGCAACTTTTCTAGAAAGATTGCCTTTGTTTTCCTTATAGGGAAAAACCCCAACTCTAGAAATAGGGTGTATGGTGTACCTGGGCTAACTCTGAGGACCAGGAGATTACATGCCTTTGATTTTGTTCTTGAAAGTACAGTCAAATCTTAATGCAAGAGTCCCTGGAGCACAGTGGCTAACAGAGAGGTCAGAGCTTGTATCCTGCTACTGTTCCGGGGAAGAAAACACTTGCCTGTCTACGCCCATCAAGATTGCAGCCTGGGAAACATTCTGGGACACTTTCAGAGTCACTGTGACTTGGAATAGACCCAGTGATGTGCAGCAACAGTGTCAGTGCAAGTGACATGGAATGAGAACTGAAAAGTGTCAAATTTTTGTTTTCAAAAATTCAGTGGGCATCCCTTGTCACTAGCAGATTACCATCATGTCAATGTATCCATAATGTTCCTAAGGATAATTCTCACACAACTTAAACATTCTCCTAATATCTTGATTTAACCACAAAGAAATGTAGCAAATCACTTTAGCCTCTGAGTTGAGCAAAACTTTACACACAGTTAAATTCAATCCATCCCTCCTCAAAAATCTTTGATTGAAGTTCTCCTTATAGCAATGATGTTTTTCACTGTTTTTAAAAACATGACTGCTCATTATTTTAATATGATTTGTTTATTGCAGATAAATGAGAAAAATCACTTGTAATCTCAAAGTTCACTATGGTAGATTTTGATATTTTTCTAGATATGCAACATGGGATCACATTTTCTAGTATGGTACTTCCATTTTTCTATATTAAATCACCTTTTAAATCAGAAATGCTATTTGATTGAATCATTTCAATGGCTGTATGATTTTTATATGTAACATGCCTTATTTAACTAATTCTCTGTTACTAGATATCTAGTGCAATGCTAAGAATACCTTATTTTTCAGAATAAGATTTCTTTGAGTGGTGGGAAGTATGTTAAAATTGAAACTTGCTAGGTAAACTGTTTCATAGTTTGTGTTAGTCAGGGTAGACTAGAGAAACAAATTGATAGACACTCATACATGTATAAAAAAGAGCTTCATATACAGGAGCAATCGAATATTGAGAAAACATCCCAGCCCAGTTCAGATCAAATCTGTAAATCTGATATTAGCCCATACGTCTGATACCAATCTATAAATTCCTCTTCAGACTCACAAAACACATGCAATGACGCTGAATGCAGGAAGATCACAGGCCAGTGGGTGGGAAGTCTTGTGGATCCAGGGGTGGTAGAGGCATCTCAGCACTAGCAGGGTTCTCCACATGACTCCTTCAGCTCCTGGGCTCTAGCATAGCTCCATGTGTCTTGTCAGCAAGCATGTCTCACAGGGAGTAAGCATGTGTCCCCCCTCCAGAGAGCTATTTATCTCCTTAGCGCCTCCAACTGAGGTCATCAAGCTGCAACCTGATTGACCTGCTAAACTCCACCCCTTCACTCTTGAGTCTCAAACTGACAACAGATTATGTAACTGCCACATAGTTACAGTATTTTAGGACTTTATTATATATTTACATAAGGCAAAGTTGTGAATTAAAAATTCAAACACTGGATATCTTATTTTGAATAAATTGTTATTTGGGTAGTGACAAGATTTTGTGACTTTAACATGCAATCTTATTAATAATGTTTTTTTCTGACAACAAACTAAAATTATATGTGACCTGATTTTTATAATCTTTCATATTTGGCTTGCTATAGATATAAAATATCTCATCCTGAATTTTTGATGATTCTTGATTAGTATTTGGTGGACTACAGATCAAAAGCCTCTGTAGTAAAAACAGTTCTTAAAGGGACTGAGCAGTTATCAAGATATAGTAATGGGTGAAAGATGAAGCTTTCTACTCTTGTAAAGAGTTACAGTCAAAAAATAAAAAGAGTTACTGTCTTGGAAACCCACAGGGCAGTTCTACTCTGTCCTATAAGGTTGCTGTGTATAGAAATGGACTCTGATGGCAGTGAGTTCTAAAGTTTTCTTTAAAGTTATAGAACATAGAGGAGGTTGGAAATGAAGGAGGAGAAAGAGAAGTGAATTGGAGATGGAGGTTCTGAATTTTACAAAAATAAGTAGACCGTGTCTAGCACCCACTGCATCATTGCTTTTCCACCCAGGAGGTCATTGCATCTGGCTCAGTGGATAGTGCACTGAGTTTCTTTGTGGGTTTGTGTTTTTGTGAATCCCCTGGTTGCGGTGCCATTTCCAGTGGGAATTTAGAACCCATATTTTATGACTTAGATTAGTTCTAACGAATATTTTGATAAAGGTATTATACTAAATTTTAGAAGATTAGATGTAGTATGACTTCCACATATCTATTCAGAGAGTAATATGCTGCTGACTTGAAAGTTACCTTGCTAATGTGATGATTGATAATGATAAATCATATGCTATAGAATACTCATGACTAGATTTTGATAAATAATTAAATTCTGGCTAATGTCTATTTTTAAAAAATTGAATGCAATATGAAAATGCCTTAGCATTAGTAAATGATATGTATGTTTACTTTTGGGAATTCATTTACCTTGAATGTCTTTGTTAACCCTTAAAAAAAAACAGTAATTTCTATAATGCCTAAAATTCCTTTCAAAATTCTCTTAGTTGACTTAGTCCTTGATAGGTAACAGTAATCTCTGACTTTCATCGCTTCTTATACCTATTTAAATTCTTAGTCTTAGATCACAGTGCATCTATATATGTGTGCATGTATATATGTGTGTCTATATATATTTGTCTATATATGTGTGTGTGTGTAAGATTTAGAGGTATTATTATCTTTTTCTCCAGAAAGATACTTCTAACCTTTAAAGTATTATATATGATAATTGGTCATCAGATAATTTAATCTAATAGAAATTCATAATTCTAAGGGTTCATAATACTAGGACACATATTCCAATAGCATAGATAATGCAAATAAGCTGAATTTTGTGAATGCTTGGCTGAAGCATGGTCCTGTTTACAGAAAAGTTATTAAGACCTTTTCTTTAGCTCTATTAGACATAGGAAGAGTTGCTAAAGAAACAGTGGAACCTGGCACCCTGTTTAACAGCATACGTGTGCTGTCAGACAGGTTGCTTAACTACCCTTCCGTTTTGATGTCTGGGCCTTCCTCACCTTGATTATGTGTGCTTGTATTTCTGTTTCCTCTGTCTATGGTACCTCAGTGTTTAACAGAGTGGGACAGGACTATGATGCAGTAGAAGTTAGAAATTAAGATTTAGAAGAATTCTAGTTCTCTTCATTTGGTGCTATGCATATAGAATTGAGCATAATAGGGTTTTTAATAGTTTATTGGCATTAAATTCACATATCATACAATTCAATAGTTCAGTCATATTAAGAAGGGTTGTACAATCATCACCATAATCAATTTCAGAACATTTTCTTTTTTCTTGTACTCATTGTTATTAGCTCCCCGTTTCCCCACCAACCTCCCATGCCAAGCCCCCAAGAGACCATTAATCCAGCTGCTGTCTCTATAGATTTACGTGTCCTAGATTTCATAGATAGAAAAACATGCAAAAATTACAACAAAAAAGCCAATAACAATAACAAAATGAAACAGAAAAACTTCAATTGAAAAGAAAGCAGAAAATATTAAAACTAGAACAAATTTTAAATGTGTCAAAGGAAATGTATTTTTGTTTTATTTGAAACTAACATCTGTGTCCCAAATTATTTAATTCAGTTTCCATTTCACTTTCCCTCCTTTTATAATGACCCTGACCAGTGTTCATGTCTAATGAATAACTACTCAAGAGGGCTTGTGTGTGTGTGTGTGATCTCCTTTTTAAAAAAATCATTTTATTAGGGGCTCATACAACTCTT